CTAGTGAGCTGGCAGTGAGAAAGGATTCACCCTCATCAATGCCTATAACATAAGGCAGGAGCTCGGAACTGCCCCAAACTTTGTGCTATGGGAAGGCAGAGGCAAAAGCCATCAATTTTGCCTGGGTTGGTCAGAGAAGGCTCTTCCGAGAAGGCTCTTCTGAGAAGGCAAAGAGCCTTGAAGGGTTAACATGTTTAATTGGTGAAGAGTTGAGGCACCTGGGTGGCTCAGTCAGTTAAGCATCCAACTTGTGATTTCGGCTCAGGTCATGATCTCAGGGTCGTGAGATTGAGCCCTGTGTTGAGCTCTGCACTGGGCGTGAAACCTGCTTAAGATTCTCCCTCTCCGTCTCTCTCTGCTCCTCCCTACCCTCTCTCTCTCTCTCTCTCTCAAATAAATAAATCTTTATATTTTTATTTTATTTAAAAAAATTTAAAGATCTTATTTATTTGTCAGAGAGAGAGTACGAGCAGAGGGAGTGGCAGGCAGAGGGAGAAGCAGGCTCTCTACTGAGCCAGAAGCCCGACACGGGGCTCCATCCCAGGATCCTGGGATCACCACCCAAGCCAAAGGCAGCTACCTAACTGACTGAGCCACCCAGGTGTCCCAATAAATAAATCTTTAAAAAAAAAACTGGTAAAGAGTCAATGGTGAAAGGGGAAGAGGCTTAAGGAACCAAGGATTTGCAAAACACTGAGAGACTGCATATGGCTGAAGCACAGAATGTCGTTGGTCATGAGGTAGACAAACGGGCAAGAAGGGCCAGGACACAGGTCAGCCCTCATGCCAAGTTAAGAAGTGTAGATTGACTGGAGAGTCAAGAGGAAACCACTGGAGGTTTTTACCCCGAGGAGTGAGACGATCAAAGGTAGGTTCTAATATCCTCTAGGATCTTATCTGACAGCTGATATGGAGGCTAGAGGTATGGAGAAAAATTTAAGAGGCTGAAGAATGAAAGAATTAGTAGATGAGGACAGAAAAATGAAAGGCTACCTTTATGATGAATCCTGAATCAGAAAAGAGACGGTTTTGAGTTCCAACCTTCCTATGTCCAAGAAGAGCCAGTTAAGGGCCTGGGGGTTTCTGACCAGGAACTAAGAGTTGGAGGGGCAGAGGCCTGCACTGTGGCCTGCAGCCTGAGAGAAACAGACTGGCACAGCTCCAAACACACATGTTCCTGTTGGCCTGGGAGCTCCTCACTCCTTTGAGTCCATTGTGCCTCAACTGTATATTTACTTTCAATCTTTCCCTCCTCTTCAGGTTTTACCACAGGAGACTAAGTCCATTCTAATCTGGAATAAATTATTTATGTGTCTGAACACTCTGGATGCCTGCCTGATTTATTTTTCGAATAATACATCTGAACAAGAATTCACACAAGACAGGGCAAACATAATTTTGAGGCGAATGCCCTTCCCCAAATATTGCCCAATCTATCATTCCAAACCACTGTGTGGCCTTGTCATCATCCTGTGGAGCCCTGAATCTATCCCTGCACACTAATTAGATGCCAAGTGCCTCTGACAGTCGAGATTTGCACTATCAGACCCCACTACCTGACCTTTACAATCTTATCTCCTGCTACTGTGACTTTCTCCACTGGCCCAAATTCCAGTCATTCAACCAAGGCCCAGTTCAAACACCTCCTACCCTATGAAGCCATCCCTGGTTCCCTCTCAAGGGGGAAGGCCCCTCATGCTTCCGAATTTCCAGAGTCTTCTGTTTTTATGTCCCTCATTAGACTCTTAAGATCCCCCAGGAGAACTTGGGCATGAACAAAGACACACAGCAGGTACCTCAGGAGAGTTAGCTTAAATTAGGGGGCATGGTCTCCCACATCCCAAGCAGCAGTTAAACAGGCCAGCTCAAGCAGACCAAATTTTGGAGTTGATATCTATAAAGTGCTGTCTGGACAAGTGGGCAGGGAAAGCCACCCACCTAGAGCTAATCTCTGACTAATGCCTCTTGGACTAACCCCAAGTGAAGTGCATATCCTTCACACGTATTTCACAAGTCTCCTGAAGAGCTTCTCCTCTCCAGGCTGACCTGCTTCCTTCAACCCCTCACACCTGTTGTGTGCCTTTCAGTTTAGGAGTTAGAGTCACGTCATTATTCCTAGTGATGCTGACAAGGGCCAAAGGATGCATGCAAGGTAGGCATTATTTTTCAGATACGGATTTGGGGCTTAGGAACCAGTGACTTGTCCAAGGTCACTCCCAGAATTGTCAGAGCTATTACTCCACCTAAGCCTTCCATTTCCCAGTGCAACAGAGTCCAAGACCTGCAAGTTGTCAAGTTGAAAGGAAAGAGACTTGAAAAGCGATTTGTATGTCCTAAAGCATACAAAAGTGTTCCTCTGTGGCCTGCGGTACCAGTTGCTGACAAAAGGCCACTTTGAGGGTTTGATGGAATCTAACCAAGGCTACAAGGGGGAGCCAGGAGAGGCACTTTCAGGTTTCTGGCGTTTGCACCCACAACTGTTCATTCCCACTGGCACTGCCTCAGGCTGCACGCTGGAGAAGGCGTTGACTAGTTGTGGCACGGCACGGCCACCGTATGGCGCCAAGGGAACGGTGCTCTGGTAGGTGGCGCCCCAGTGCCTTACGACAGGTGTGGTGGGTGACCCTGCACCTGCCCCGCCGGGGCCAAGAAGACCTGGTCGGGGTCACCTGACTCTGGGTTTAAGGAGAGGCGGCGCGGCGGCGTCTGCCTCACGTGATCGGGCTCGGGCGGCGACGAGCGCGTCACGCTACGCCCCGCGCACCGGGTCGGTCAAGGTCTGCGCCTGCGCGGCCGCTGCTCGCCGGCTCGCCGACCTGCGGGTTGGCGGCTATCGGGCGCGGAGTCGGGCGCCCGCTGCAATGGGTGAGTGCGCGGGCTGGCGGCACGGGCTTTCCCCCCGGCCTGTACGTTGGAGGAGTGGAAGCACGAAAGAGGGTCTGAGGAGGCCGCCCCGCCCCGGCCCTCTGGCGCAGCCGCTGGGGCCCACCCTCTCCGCGCGCCCGGGCGCTCCTGCGAGCGCGCCCTCCTGGGTGGGGCCCGCAGGCGCGGGAACCACAGGAGCGGTGCTCCCGCACAGGGTCGGTTCTACGCCCCCGAGGCCCCCGGGCTCTCCCGCCAGCCGCCGGCTTTCGCGGGCCGTCGTGGGGCTTCACGGGGCGAGGGACGCTGTCTGGCGGGCGGAGCTGGCCTTTCCGGCGAAGAACGCTGTGCGTTTATTCGGACGCGCCCCTGCTGGGGAGGGGCCTCCCACCGCGCACGAACCGGAGGGCGGGGAGGGCCGGGCTTTGCCTGCGCCCGGGGGCGGGCGGCGCTGGGACAGCGGAAGGGCCCCTGCCCCCCCTGGGGTCTGGGATTGCGGGCCCCCTGAGCTTGTTCACTGTCGGAGACGGAAGGGGCCTTGGTGATCCTACCCAACCCCCGACCCTCTCATCCCAGATTGGGGAAATGGACGCCCGGAGGGCGGTAAGTCCGGCCACAGCCAGGCAGTGCTTATTCTGCGACACCATGTTGCATCGCGTTGTGGGAAACTCAATTGTACAAGGCTTTTGGGGGGCGGGCAGGCGGGCGGTGTTGTTCATTGTAAATCTCTGTGCTGATTATTTAGCACCGAGCGTGGCTAGATCAAGCATGTCGATGCCTCAGCTATATTTACCCTTGGGGCATAACCTTTATTTGCCCCGTCAGCTATACTTAGCTCGTCGTAATTCCCACGCTCTGTTTCTCTACCTGTAAGCAGTGAAACAGAAGCCCTGAAAGTGTATGGGTAGTGACCTTGCCAGTTCGAGCCGCCTCCACCCTCGTTTGGAAAGGATTCAATAAAATCAAAGGGTACTAAAACTGGTCAGGTGTGTCCCCTAGTGGTTCCAGAGCACAGGTTGGGCACTTTGGATCTGGAGTCACCCTTAGTGCATCTAAAAAAATGATAAGCTATTACCTCTCAGTTGAGGTATCTGGTTTCTCCTTTGATAGATTAAACCCAGACAATCGGATTTTTAAATTAAGGACCTTGCTTTGACTATAGCAAGGTAGTGTCATAACTAGGACTGGAACCCAGACTGATCTTGTTCTGATTGCTGACTCAGACCTGCTGACTTAGAGTTCACATCCTTTAAGAACTACATTTGCCTTACCCCCAGTTTTTGCACAAAGACCTTTGTGCTGGGATCACATCTAGGTCTTGCTTATCCATGTAGGCTGTAAATTACAGTGAGTTTTTAGACTTTTACACTGTTTATGCCACAAACGTTTGATACTTGTAGTTGCTTAAAAGTCAACCTATTAACTGTGCTTCTTACTGTTTAGATAGCTTGAGTGTTTTAGGTAGCAAACAGTTTAAAATTAGGGTAAATAAGTTTTGCAATAGCGAAGAATTACCCCTGTTAAGGAATTTAAATATAGAGATCAGTTTAGTAAAGAAATTTAGCTGTGTTCACAGTATAGTGTATGTGCTGCCGAAGTGAGCACTGTGTTCACAGTATAAATAAACATATAAAATTCTGAACTCCATTGCCACAGAATACTGTGCACACTGTCCTTCTGTTGCCGAATTAAGAATCTATTCATACCATCCTGGTGTGTAGGATGAAACTAGAGGGAAAGCGTTATTTTTTTTTTCTTTTCACATGTGTATTGGTGGTTTCTTTGAAGACGTAAGTCTCAAGAGGTTAAAATTTAGAGGGAAAGTTTTAAATCTGTGAAGTCTAGGAGGGTTTCATGACCTTCCTTTTTTTATGCACAGGCCTGTTTTTTAAAGTTTGAGACTAAATATACAGTGATGTTCTTTTTTTTTTTTTAGATTTTATTTGAGAGCAAGAGTGCACAAGGTTGGGGGGGGGCAGAGGGAGAGGGAGAAGCAGGCTCCCCGCTGAGCAGGGAGTCCAGTGCGGGGCTGGATCCCAGGACCCAAAGGCAGACACGCAGTCGACTGAGCCACCCAGGTACCCATACAGTGATATTCTTAAAATCTTTAAATATAGGGGTCAATAAATGGTTAATTTCTGCTAGCCATAGTTTTCTGCTTAATAACAGTCTCCATTATTACAAACAGCTGTGACAAACTAGTTGAAGTAACTTTAATTTGTAAAATTTTGGGAAGTAAATCATTCCAGTAAAAATTTAAGGTGAATATGGACAGAATTTGTTGGTCGGGTGTACAAATAACTTAGTTTGTATTATCAAGGAACAGATTGCTAAACAGTTTGCAGGTGGTAACTTTAGAATTTAAAATGTATTGTTATGTATTCAGTATGTAAATGAAATTTCTTAACATTCATAAATTGTCACAACATGATATTATATAATCATATATACATTAATCAGAGTATTCTTGTTATTTTATCATTCTTTAGTCCTGAGACTCTGAAGAAGAGCAAAGGATTACCTAGATATAAAGCATTTGTGTGCTAAGCTGTTTTTAAAATGTTAATCTTAGATTGGCAATTGTAGCCCTAATAAGAGTTCTTAAGTTCATGTCTGTCAGCTGAAACAGCAAGAAGTAAGGATGTAGAAGACTAAGTGATTAATAATTATCAAACTCTACCCTGGCAAACTTCTTTTCAAGCATCTTCAAACTTTTTTTTTTTTTTTTAAGTAAAAATGCCATTGGTTTCTTTAACTGGTTAAGAGCACAAAATGTAACAGGCAGAAGATGTGTTTTAAACAAATTAAAAAGCTGTGGGTGGTTTTTTGTTGTTTTTTTCCCAATTCTCCCCAAGTCAGATAAATACATACCCACAAAAATGGTGAAGGAAAGCTGTCCTACATAAGAAGTGTATCCTGAATTAAGGGAAACTGCTGTTGAAACAGGAATTAACATAATAAACTCAGCAGTAGGTTAGCAGTGTTAAAAATTGAGTGTTCAGGGTGCTTTGGCTGACTCCGTGGAGTGTGCAACTCTTGATCTTGGGGTTGTGGGTTCAAGCTTCATGTTGGGCGTAGGGATTACTTAAAAAAAAAAAAATCTTAAAAATAATTGAGTCTTCAAATGCTGCATGGCACGATGCTATACTATATAAACTACTGAAATACTGCTGTGTAGGAAGGAGGAAGTCTGTACGGCTTTTAGCAAAAATGGTTTTCCAGAAAAGCAAATCAAAACAATGCAGTCAGCAGATCAAGGAGGTTATAGCTAGATATCAGAACTATGGCTTCTCATATCTGTGCTAGAAGATCCTTTGTATCCAGAATGGACTAAAATTTCAGGACGAAACAGGGACTTTTAAAAAACATTCCTTTATCCATTTTAAGTTCTCTGCCTCTTTCCCCCTCCCCCTGCATTTCAGCATGATCTAGCAGAAAGATGGCTGCCATTGGCTATTTTATTTTTTCTTTCTGTGGCAAGACTGTCATGGTGCCTGGATATTTCAGGTTTGTATGCTTCTCTTACCGTTGTCCTGTTGTGGTCAAAAAACAGTAATGGGACTTAGTGTACTTGGCTTGCCATTCCTGCTTTATTCTCCCACTAATGAAGGTCAGCTTCAGGGTATATTTATCAAATATTTTGAGACTGGAGGACAGTTGCCAGATATTAGGATCTATCCTTTTATGATCTTCCTATGGGCCACCAGAAAGATGCTCTTCTCCTGAGCATAAATAAAGGATATGATAAGACACAAAGCCAAAACAGGTTTGGATTCTGGAGCTGGGCACATAAAATCCCAAATGAAAGCTGCTATGTCAAGATGATGCAGATGATGAAGCAACCATCAATTAGACCAAAATTCTCCATAGTGTATCTTAAAAAGTTTTGCTCAAAGGGAAATACATCACCTTAAACATTCAAAATTATGAAACAAAGAATAAAAATTAGAATACTATAAACCTAGACAAAACAGGAGAAAAGAGATGGAGGAAAAGCAAATTTAAAAACTGAAAATAGTAAAACTGGTAACTTCAACAGCTGTTTTTTTTCTGGGATGAGAGGAATGTAAATTTGACAAACTGGCTACCAAGAAAAAAGGGAATGTAAGTACACTAGACTAGAAGTATTTTTTAAAAACAAGTACTGTATAAGACTATATAAGTAAACCAGAACTTTTTTTTTAAAGGAAATCCAGTATCAAAATTGCAGAAGAAAGAACCTAACAGACCAGTAACAATGGAAGAAATTGAGAAAGTTATCAAAAAGCTACCATCCCCCAAAACACCAGGCCCAGATGGTGTTACAGGTGAATTCCCTTAACTTTGAAGGAAAAGGTAATTTTGATAAGGTTTAAATTGTTCACCAACATCAGGAAGGAAAAGTGATAGATTGTTTTTACAAAGCCAATAGAACATTGATGCCTGAACTTGGCATGAAGATAGTACTAAAATTGAAAATTTGGTATGTTCTAGTGATGTGAAATTTTAAAATATTAGCAAAATGGTATCTAGTGATGTATTAAAAAACATATTTCACCATGGCCAAGGAGGATTCATACCCTTATTATAAGGGCAAGTAATTAACAAGAAATAATGTATATACCAAATAAATACATTAGTGAATAATAGGTCATCCTTGTTGAGCACCTCTAGTGCTCTAGACTACTCTCCAGGATGCTGTACTAGTAGTAACTCAAATAACTGAACCAGCCTATGAGGTAGGTAACATCCTTACTGTATAAATGAGGAAATTAAGCCATAGAGACATTGAGGAACTTGAAGGTCACACAGTGGATATGTGGTGGAGCCAGGATTTGAATTGAGGCTATTAGCTGCAACTCGTAAATGTTACACTGGTTCTGTCTCCAGTATTCATGTGATCATCTCAGTAGCTCCTTAAAAGCATTTGACCAAAGTTCCTGATTTAGTGGTGGTAGGAGGGGTTGAAGGTGGTTGACTTGCAGTAAAACAGGAATAAATATGTATTCCCTTCCCATGTTTGAAAACTCTCTAAGCCCTTATCAGTTGATATCTAGTATTAGAAAAATGGAATGCAGTTTTAATGTGAAACATAATTCCCTAGTAAATAGCAGGGGGATGGGGGCTTACATTATAATTGAAGATATACTAATTGGTAGGATGAATGCAGAATGAAGTTTTGGGGTTTTTAATGTAATTTATCTGATGAAATGTGATAGCACTGGAAAGACGTGCTTTACCTCATATTTGCAGCACAATCCTAAAGGTGGGTAGGGATAGATGGTGAACAGGGAAGGTTACTTGAATGAGTACAGATTTTCTAGGGGCTAGTTCAGTAAACATTTTTGTGTCGTGATGATCTATTTCCCTAAGTAAACTTGAAACTACTAGGACTTGGATTATGAATACTCTGATGACAGCTTCCTGTTTCTCACCCCACAAGCCAGTGTCATGCTTAATAGTAATTCCTAGCAAAGTTCCCATAAGTGTCAAGAAAAATATAAGGATATTCACTATTATTATAATTTAGATTTGTTCAGGAAATATTTGTGAATCTAATAAGATAGAAGAAAGATACATATTATAATGGAGAAGTCAAAATTATTTGTGGTATTTTATATAGTGGAAGCTAAAGCAAAGCAGTCCAAAAAACTGAGAAATTGCAAGAAGATTTGGTAAGTTGGCTGGTTCTAACCTTAATATACAAGAATTGGTAGCTTTTTCATATGCAGACAAAAGGCAGTTTGAAAATTAATTGGAAGGAAACGGCCCATTCATAATAGCAACCAAAAAGATAAAATACCTAGGCATAAATATTCAAGATCTGGGGGTGCCTGGGTGGCTCAGTCAGTAAAACCCCTGTCTCTTGATTTCTGCTCAGGTCACAATCTCAAGAGTCCTGAGATCATGCCCTGTCTAGGGCTCTGCGCTCAGTGGGGAGTCTGCTTCTCTCCTTCTCCCCCTCCCGGTGCTGCATGCTCTATCTCAAATCTTAAAAAAAAAAAAAAAAGATCTGTATGAAAAAATTTTTAAATGCTACTAAGGTTTGTAAAAAGACAAGTAAATAGGAAGACATCATATTCCTGTAAAGTATGGTTTAATTTTGGAAAAGTGAGAGGTCTTTACATTTATCTATGAAGTCACTGTCTCTCTAAGATACCAACAAGATTTTTGGGAAGAATATGACAGAGATCCATTAGAGTTTACCAGGAGAAGCGTAATAACCAGGAAAGCTGCTAATTCTCAGGAGAGTATGGGGAAGCCCTATGAGATGGTGACACGCATCATACTGCCGTAGCAGGTCAGAGCAGGTTGGCACTCGAGAAGCGCTGGGCTGCTGGTGGAGCAGAGCCTGTGCAGACATACATGCACACAGCCACGGGCATTTGGATGATGCTCACCGGTCACTTTCATAGGCAAGCTTTTCTCTCTGGCTTCTTATGCTGAAATTCCAGAGAGATTACAGTATGGCTGGTAAATGAAACCATGAAGGTTGTAGAGGGAAGCATGGATTACTCGTTCATACTTTCAGAGTAATAAAGGCCTTCTGAGGACATTATAAAGCCTAGAAGCCAAGATCATAGATTTACTATCTAAATTAAGAACTTCAGTATCACAAAAATGATAAAGTAGGGAAAGTATTTGCCACAATTTGATTAATAGAACCAGGAATGATTTTCTTCATATATGAAGAAATTTTACAAATCAGAAAAGGTTTTTCTGCCTATTAGAAATACGGGTAACATGAAAATTTACAGTAAAAGAAATTCAGATGGTCAAAAATGGAAAAATACTGTAGTTTATTTTTTTAAGCAGGCCCCTCCACTGAGCAGGCAGCCCAACATGGGGCTCGATCCCAGGACCCTGGGATCATTACCTGAGCTGAAGGCAGACTCTTATTAACCAGCTGAGCCACCTAGGTGCCCCAAAATGCTGTAGTTTAATCAAAAATTTTAAATGACAAAATGCAGTTTTTTACCCATGAAATGGTACAGGAAATGATGGGGGACCTGGGTACTGACATACACGTAATTGAAGTATAAATCCTCATTAGTTTTCTGGGGGCAGTTTGGAGTAGCTATCAAATTAAAATGTATTACTCTTTAGCCAGCAATGCCATTCGAAAGATTTATCCTATAGATAAACTTGCCAGAGTTCACCCAAGCAAGGTGTAGGTATAAGGTTGCCCAGTGCAGAATTCTTTAAGAGAAAAAAAGGAAAAAAAACAAACCTAAACAAAAAACAGGGAAAAGTAGAAAGAATAAATTACTTATAATATGTCCAATTGCTATACAATCATACAAAATACTGGGGTATCTCCATGCTGTTATTAGAAGTTTCCAGAATGCATTGTGAGTGTCACTAGTGGCAGGTTGACTGGTAAAGAGGCTTTCCCACAGTCAGGCTAGACAGAGAGCCCTGAGCTAAGGCAGTGAGCCTGGAGAGGGGAGGTGTCTGTATATTTAATTGATTTAGAACTTTGTTTTTGCTTAAAAAAAAAAACCTTTTTTAAATGTTTATTTTTAATATGTCAATTTTTTTCCTAAAAAAGTAATACGCTTCTTTTGTGAATTTTCATTGAAATGACTCATTCGTTGTTTTACTGGATCTACAAGCAGCCCAACTCCAAGGAATCTGGCATCTCTGAGTCAAGCATCCAGGTGACTTCATAATCTAACTGTTCTAATACCTGCCAAGGTGAGAAATACTTCGTGTCTCTGAGCCAGGCCTTACTTTGATGATTTACATTGCAGAGGAACACATTTTTGGAACGCCGGGGAACAGTTTTTCCTGCCCCTTTAAACCGATTCATGACGGTGCTGAGCAGATTTCAGCTGTAAGTCCTGCTGCTTCCACTACTTTGCCAAAGCAGAGAGCATGTTCTTAATGAACAGAGTGGCGCCCAGAGGTGGTGTGGCTCCCCTGCTTGTGGGGGCTGGCAGTGAAAGAAAGCACCCCTGGCACAGTTGGGTTCTGTCGGTACAACCAGGCGACTTAGTGGCGAGGAAAGTTTCCTGACCCCTTTCAGGACCTTCCTTCCCGCAGAGTTCGGGCTTGCAGTGGTTTCCAAGTTTATCTTTTCTGATAGAAACATGGAGTAAGCCAGCTGGAACTCCAGCAAAACAGACTTTGGGCCAGAGTGTTCATTGTTGATTTTCCTAGTGTAGTCTGTCTTGTGGGAAGAAGACACACAGACCCTGGTGTGACATACTTAAGGAAAATAGCTTGTTTGCATTTGCTTCACATGAGAAAGGAAAAGAATAGTACACAGTAACATCAGAGTGTCTTGGGATCCTCCTGAGGGTCTCTCGTAACCTCGGTCCAAGCCTGCTTCCCCATCCTCCTCTGCCACCCACCCATCTTCCCCCCACATTCTGCTCGAGCAGAAGTACTCAATTCCTCGAGAATGCAATCCTGCTGCTCTGACACAGGACTTGCACCGTAGCCTGTGCCGCCGCCCTTAGCGGAATGTGCTTCACCTATTTGCCCACAGGTCCTATCCTGCCCCGTCATTGTCTCCAGACAGCTAGCTAATGACCCCCTCTCTCTGCGGGGCCTTTATACACCTTGTGCACATTTCCGTGCATGCGTTTATAGTCCAGTTGTTTGCATGTCTTATCTCTGCTGAAGCCAGGGTTCCCATTTATCTCTAATCTCTGACTTGTAGGGCAGTGCCTTTGAATAAGTGGGTTGAATTTAATTTTCTTAGTTTGCTAGTAGGCCAGTGTAAAAGCAGGCAAAGAGGAAGAAATCCCCAACAAAAGTAAATGAAGGTCTTCTTGACAGTGTTATCCTATAAGTCTGAATGAAACAGAAAAACATTTTTTTAAAGATTTTATTTATTTGGGGGAGAGAGGGAGGAACAGACTCCACGCTGAGCAGGGAGCCTGACACGGGGCTCCATCCCAGGACCCTGAGATCATGACCTGAGCTGAAGGCAGACTAACCGACTGAGCCACCCAGGCACCCCAATACTCTTTTATTTTTGATATCATATATATATGACATCCCATCAGGTGGATACATCTTCATTTATTCAGTGGGCCCCTTACTGTTGAGCACTTAATTTTTATTCAGTACTTCTCAAGAGCATTGTTGCGACTGTCTTGTAGTTCAGTCTTTGTGTACATCCTGTATGAATAACTTTTTCCCTAGGCTGTACTCCCAAAAGGGAAAATATGTGTTCCATATTTATTTTTTGTTTTTTTTGTTTTTCTTTGACAGAGAGAGACACAGCGAGAGAGGGAACATAAGCAGGGGGAGTGGGAGAGGGAGAAGCAGGCCCCCCGCCAAGCAGGGAGCCTGATGTGGGGCCCGATCCCAGGACCCCAGGATCATGACCTGAGCCAAAGGCAGACACTTAATGACTGAGCCACCCAGGCGTCCATATTTGATGTTACATATCTGTGGCTCCTGTAGATATAAGCTCCCCAGGAATTGATTCTGATTGTTTTCTGTGCTTCAGCTCTGCACTGTACTTTATAGTGATTACATTCATCTTTTGTCCTGAATGCTCAGCAGTTTATACACCTATTAATAACTCCCTGTTCCTCCTTCCGCAAGCCCCTGGCAACTACCATTCTACTTTCTGTCTCTGATTTTGACTACTTTATGTACTTTATATAAATGAAATCACACAATATTTGTCCTTTTATGACTGGCTTCTTTTACTTAAGGTCCTCAGGGTTCACCCACGTCCTAGCACATGACAGGATTTCCTTCCTTTTTAAGGCCACATAGTATTCCATTGTATGTATCTATACCACGTCTTGTTTAACCATTCATCCGTCAATGGACATTTGTGTCGCTTCCACCTCTTGGCTGTTGTGAATAGCACTGCTGTGGATGTGCACGTGCCTCT